AAGTGTGAAAAACTTACTCCAGATCTTTCATGGTTATTTGACATGTCTTAGGTCACCCTAAAGCTAGAGCTTTCATCACCCATGGAGGCACAAACGGGATTTATGAAGCCATCTACCACGGCGTTCCCATGGTGGGCATCCCCATGTTTGGTGACCAGCCAGACAACATGGTCCATATGAAGGCTAAAGGTGCTGCAGTTATTTTCAACTTGAATTTCATGACGTCTGAAGATCTTAGAGACGCAATCAACACAGTCATCAATGACAAATCGTGAGTTCTTTGAACTATCTGTACTTTGGATTAAATACCGAAAGCATAGATGTTGTACCAAAGACGAATGTGGGCTCAAGAGTATGAAAAGCATGAAGGCCAAGAATAACATACCTTAAATTTGAATTATTTGGAATTTCCAGCAAGGGGAGAATCCACTGGCTGGAAATGACATACACTGAGCACCATCTGGTCTTAGTTTGGCCAATTTTTTAAAAAAAAAAAATTTTTTATTTTTAAATACATTTAAATGTCCATGTATTAATTTGTCAATGCAAAAAATGTATAAATGTTTTTGTACTTTGTTTTAATTTGCTGTTAAGCCTCTTTTAATCTGATGGCATAGTAGAAACTTGAACTTCCAAGACAAGTATCTATTCAAACAATTTAATTTTGATGAAGTGATTTCCAATTGTTATTTATTAGGTTGTAGAACATTAATGTTTAAATGGATCCAGTTTTACATCTCTAATGTGAAGTCGTGTGGTCTCAGTTGTCTCAAAGCTTGTTTTACGTCCATCCTTTTTATACAGTTCATGATTGAATGTTTTTTGGGGGCGTGACTTATAGTAAAGTCCAAATGACTAACATAGCATAATAGCAGGTCATGAAGGAACAAGGGTCTAATGGGCTTGATAGTTGAAGTACCACAAAAGCTTCAAAGGCCACAAAATGATTGAAATATCTCTAGATGTTTTAAATGTAACATTTTTAAAAAGCATGCAAAATTGCGTACACTCAACAATAGAATTATTAACTCGAACTAAATGAAAACTAATTCTGCAACATTAATTTCTGGTTTTCTTTACAAAAGTTTATTACTAACCTTATGGTCATTGGAGAAATTTAATGACCATGTTATCATCAGATAACACCTCTAGTATGCAGAACAAGAGTCAAATGACCTGCAAAATACACATTTGTATTTCAGCGCACACAGATCCTCAAGCAGAGGGCCTGGCTTAACAAAGAAAGTTCATAACCATTGTGGTGATACCGGTCATCTCCAATTGGGGTTTTAAGTTTTGTGGAGCGAGCTAACACAAAGAAAGTTTAGAAGCTTTCTTCTAACCTCAGTAAACCCTTTGCCAATGATCTTGGGGTCTCAGTGGTCTCAAAGCTTATTTGGCTTCCATCTTTTTTATACAGTTCATGATTGAAAGGGTTTTTTTTGTATAATTAATAGATAATAGCAGGTCATAAAGGAACAAGGGTCTAATGAGCTTGATAGCTGAAGTACCACAAAAGCTTCAAAGGCCACAAAATGATTGAAATATCTCTAGATGTCAATTTTAACTTGAGGCATTATCAGTTTTAGAGTTTTGAAATATATCCCTTTATTGTCTGGCAAAAAAATAAATAAATTATAGTATAACAATTCAAAGGTTAATTTTTTGAACCCAATATGCACATTCACAGGTACAAAGAAAATATTATGCGGCTGTCCAGCATCCACCACGACAGACCCATGAGTGCTCTGGAAGAGGCAGTATTCTGGATCGAGTTCACACTGAGAAACAAAGGGGCCAAGCACCTGAGGGTCCAGGCCCATGAACTCACCTGGTACCAGTATCTCAGCCTGGATGTCCTGGGCTTCTTCTTCACCATAGTTCTACTCATCATATTCATCTTCATCAAGACCTGCAGTTTCTGCTGGCACAGGTGTTGTGTCAGGAGAGGAAAGACAAAAAGGAAGGCTGAATAACAACTAAACTGAAACGGTGCTGTGAATGTTGGACTGGGGTAATATTTGTTACCAGCATGAAACTTTCTTTCATATATGTTGAATTTCCCTTCATCTTCTCCTTTATGCACCACCACTAATGTTCTTTTATGTAGCAGATTGAGTATCATATTTACTAATTTTTGATCCCGCTATTAGTCAAGCACATTAGATGACGCTGCTATAAATAATAGCCGCCATCTGAGCGTCCATGAATCGCTCACCTGCTGTCAGCCGCATCCGGCTTTTCGGTCACCTGACTTCCCCCGGTGTTACAGGTAGAGGTTTGCGTGCTTGTCGCTGCTGCCTCAGACTGAATTGGCGGTACACGTTTTGATTGTGTTGTTCGTGTTACAGCGATCACCCGCGGATTATCTTCCTGAATCCTCCATCGCGGCTGGTATGTGTTTATTTGGCGCCATGCGTACCTTATTTCACTCTGTTGTAGGTTATAGGTTGTAGCCGCAGAAGCCTCCAGTGAGCCACTGTGTTAATGAATTGAGCGACACCGTTTGATTGGTACGTAAGTCCGATTTGTCACAGTCATAGTTGAGTTGAGTTTTTCTGTAGTAAACACTCACGATATGATGCCTTGCAGGAAGTGTAGGTTTCAGTGGGCGGCCTGACAGCGGGCCGCTACTGCTGCGCTGACAGAAGTGCTGCTGCTTTGCCTTTTTCTTTTGGGATTTCCTTTGCCCTGTTGCTGCCAGCTTCTTAGAAGTGGACATTTAAGAGAGAAGCCGGTTGGTGTGTATGTTAATGAACTGAATCATTCAATTAGAGCAGTCAGATGAAGGATGATTTGGCGTGACACTGTGACGCCTTCTGCTCTAGCTCCAAGGTCTAATTTATTTTGTTGTATATTTGGCTTCTTTACTTCTTTTTTTTTTTTTATTTTTCTTTTTTTTTGTGTGTGTGTGTGCGTGTGTGTGTGGGTGTGTGTGTGTGTGTGTGTGTGTGTGAGTGTTTAAACAGTGGAAGGAGGCCCGCTTTCTAAGCTGTTGATGCACCAGTGTGTTCTGCAGTTGGGCTAGCCACGGGGGTGGGGGGGCGTTGTTCTTGTTTGTTTTCTGTTAAAAAAATGTATGTATGCATGCACGCATACACACATATACATGTGTGTGTGTGTGTGTGTGTGTGTGTGTGTGTGTGTGTGTGTGTGTGTGTGTGTGTGTGTGTGTGTATGTGTGTGTGTGTCTGTCTGTGTCTGTCTGTGTGTGTGTGTGTATATATATGTGTGTGTGTGTGTGTGTGTGTGTATTATATCGATAGATACACATATATGGAGGCGTTTCTAGAAGATTTCCTGCGATTCTCCATATACGACATTGATTATATATATTATATGAACTACTTGGAGCATGTCTGGCAATCCGGGAGTCGGTATTTCTCCCATAGTGAGACACGAAAGGAATGCTATGAAAGAACTTAAGGTTATGTGTTGTTTTGAATGACATCTGATGCTATGTCAGCCTATTATAGAGGGAGGCATTAGTCCCTCCTAACATGGGCGTCACTTAGCAGCCTGTAAGGGCTGGCATAATGGCATTTGAGCTTCTGATGATGTCACGCAGGAAGCGTTTCCATAGTATGACACTCACTCATGTTACTCAGAGAACCAGAGTTTTATACACATACCGTAACCTTAAGTTTTAGCGGATTCAGCCCGTGTTTACTTTCGCCGGTCTTGAGCCGCTGTTCTGTCACCTGCTGTCGGGATCACCGTCTCTTTACTCTGGTAAGCTACACTTGGAGACATTTTGCCCATGTTGTGCAAGCTGTTACATTCATACTGATACTTTATACTTTAATTTGGGGGCTCTCGGATCATATCTCCGTCAGGGGCCCGACTTTAACGCCTTAAATCCAGGTTGTATAACGGTAAAACTTTGGCGGCCTGTCCTTCTCTAAGATTGATGTCCTTACTTCATTGTTTGGTTTTCCTCGTGGCTTTATTTGTTTTGTTAACTTAATTTCTTTCAAGGGCGATTTTGTTCTAGAGAGCTGTTGGTGTCAGGTTCAGGTGGCAGGCTAACTTAGAAATTGTTTACTTACACACAAGAAATAGATAATGTTTTGACTGGAATAAATCTTTATTGGTTTTATTTGCAATATCTCACAGTTAAACACCTCAGTTTCTTAGTTAAATCCAGGTTGGGTTTTCTTCAATCAGTAATTATCTTTTGGGAGGGGGGGCATTTTAAAAATTAATAGGTGGTTATTATAAAGAGAGACTAGGAGTTTTTTCCCTTCTTGTAGTCACCATGAGCTGCTCATAGTGGACTGAGAAAAGCCCAGTATTCGGACCATAATAATAATCAATCTGTTCATACCTGTTGTGAATTTTTATGTAAAATTAAAAAGAAATCTGAAATCGCTGCAGTCTTTAGGTGGATCCTTTTGAATACTTTGACTATTATTTTGTATTACTTCACTCTCTCTCTCTCTCCTCAACTAACAGCTACAACATCAGGCTCTGACATATTTATTTATTTCTCATACAAGTTAGATTTTAGTCTTGTTTTTTCAGTACTGTCAACTTTACAATCATTGCTTTATAACCCATTGTAAAATGACCAATGCAATACAGAAAGAAGTGAGCCAGAGTTCACCTTTATTAAGTTAATAATTATTTTTTCCTGGAATGCTTTCACCAAAGGATCAGACCACAGCTGGTTTTCCTGCTGAGATTCAGACACCATGGAGCTGCGTCTCTCTGCCTGCATTCTGCTGATACTTTGTGCAACATCGTGTGCAAATGGAGGAAATATTTTGGTGTGGTACACCGAAGGCAGCCACTGGATAAACATGAAGCTTGTTCTGGAGACGCTGATTGACAGGGGACACCAGGTGACTGTACTGGTCCCGAGCTCGTCAATGTACATGAACACCAATGAACCTGCCCGCTTTCACTATGAGCCCTTCAATGCCTCTTTCTCATTGGAGGCTTTACTGAAGTATCTAGAAGAGTTCCTCCAATTCAGTCTGTATGAGAGTCATTATATGAGCTACTGGGAGATCTACATCAGATTAATTGACATGATGAAAGCTAACCTGCGGTTTTCTATCCAGTATTTGGACGGTGTGGTGAAATCAGAAGCCATCATGAAGAAGTTGAAAGAAGGAAATTATGACCTTCTCTTGGCTGACCCCATCTACCCTGGCAGTGACTTGGTAGCAGATATTTTGGGGATCCCACTCATCTTCTCCTTGCGCTTCTCCTTAGCTAATAACTGGGAGAGGCATTGTGGTCAGATGCCTGCTCCACCATCCTTTGTTCCCGGTGCCATGAGCAAACTCACAGATAAGATGGACTTCTCAGAGAGAGTGTGGAACTTTCTCTTCTACGCTCTCCAAGACATCATGATTGATCACACTTTTTGGAACGTATTAGACAGATATTACTCTGATGTCAAAGGTGAGCAAATGGACATGAAGCACACGGTTGAAAAAAAACAACAATATTTGAAGTCTGCTAAAGCTTTAAATACAGTGTTTTTATATCCCATCTAACCTGCCCAAGAAAATACAACCTGCATGAACTATTGGTGATATGTTAATGTCTATTGTTCATGCATTGCAACAGGAACTCCCACCAGTGCCTGTGAGTTGATGAGTAAAGCAGACATCTGGTTAATCCGAACCTACTGGGATTTTGAATTCCCTCGTCCTTTCCTCCCCAACTTCAAATATGTTGGTGGGATCCACTGCAGACCTGCTAAACCTTTACCAGAGGTAAGGACACTCAACTATTACCATCTGATTAATCATTACATCACAGAATATTCCTGCCAGGAGCAGTGAAACCATCAAAATGTTGAACAAAAATGAGAAAACAGCTGGTTGGCTGGTGGTGGGATAATATTTGACTTGTTACAGGATCTGGAGGAATTTGTGCAGAGTTCTGGAGATGATGGCATTGTGATCTTCACTTTAGGATCCGTAATCAGCAACGTCACCAAGGAGAAGGCAAACATGATAGCCTCAGGCCTCGCTCAGATCCCACAAAAGGTCAGAGGATAATGTTTGTGCCAACTGTAATCAGTTTGTTCAAACCCTGAAAGCATGGAGTAGTTTGTAAGGTTTTAGGGTAACCAGTTTCAGCTCTGGAGTTGGCCACCCCTGACTTAGATCCTTACAGTCTGAGGTGCAAACTGGTGGTGTCGGATGTACTGAAACATAGTGTCCCAAAGATGTTCGATTGGATTTAGGTCAGGCCAGTGTGGGGGACAGTCAAGGGTATCCATTTTTTATCTTCGAGAAACTGTCAGCATACTCCTGCCACATGAGCCTGTGTATTGTTGTGCATCAAGAAGAACCCAGGGTTCAAGGATTTTATCCACATACCTAAATGCAGTAAAAGTACTGTTGTCTAGTCTGTAGGTCTATGCATCGCTCCATGGATATACCTCCCCAAACTATCATGTAACTAGAAACTCCTCCATGTTCACGACACTGTGCTGGGAGACAGCAAACCTTCTTTCAATGTGACATATGAAGTACTACCTGCATAAGATGTAATGGAAAAAACACCATGTGAACTTTCTATTTAAAGGTGCTGTGGAGATACAGAGGAGAAAAGCCAGAAACTTTGGGTGCCAACACTCAAATATATGATTGGATTCCTCAGAATGACCTCCTGGGTAAGTAAAGTTGGTACCAATCACAGTTATTTCTTTCTATGTCTGCCTTTTATTCCATGAGAAATAGTCCTAATGAAATCAGATGCCACAGAGACGGTAAAGTTCACAGTAACACCGCCAACTAAGAATTTTTACAAAAATACTCAAATCAGCTCAAATTAGTTGTTCAGGTTTATTGAAACCTTTTTGCTGTCTTGATGTATTCAGCTGTGAGCTTGTTGCGGGTTAGCTTTTAACCACTGATGTATCCATCACCATCCCATGGAGCAGCTGTAGTAAACAGGAAGACATCTGAAGATTTTCTTACTGGTTACAAAAAAAGCAACCTACATTTTACTGTCCAAAATATTTATGCAATAGATGTGTCAATTTAATGTGAAATAGAGCCAGCAGTACTTTCACAACTTGTGAGTAGATACAGCATTAACTCTGCCCTGGAAGATGTAGGAAATAC